TGTTCTATGTGTAGTTACGTATATGACATAAAGGGAACTGTGTTGTGGTGAAGAGATTAGTGGCCAATTTTCTCTTGCCCATATTTCTTTTATTTTATTTTTTTGGTATAATATAGGATTTTGGACAAAATTATTATTACTAAATTATCTTTACATTATGTAAACATTACATTAGTGTTTAAAAGCATAGACTCGAATCTCACTGCTTGTTTTAATCACACCTCTGCCACTTGCCAGCTGTGTGACCTTGGTGACGTTATTTAAACTTTCTGTGTCTCAGCTGTTACATTTGTCACATCAGGATAATAATATTACCTGCCTCATTGCTAGGATTAAATAGATTAATTTACTTAGTGCTCTTAGAGTAGTACCTGGCACATAATATGTGCTATATAAGAGTTTACTGTTATTATCATTAGCATTCTCCTTGAGGAATTATTGTTGGCATTTACATTTTATTTTATAAAAATTAATTTATTGTTTTTGGTTAACTGTGTGTGTGGTTTTTTGTTTGTTTGGTTGGTTTTTGGTTTCTTCCTCACTGCTAGGATTTTTATTATATCCTCTTTCTTCAAGTCTTATTGTCATGTTTAAGTTGTATCTGTTTGTACTACTCTGAGTAGTTTTTTCAGGTGTGATCCTCTGTCTTGTTTACCACTATATTTTCAGTCCCTAGAACATAGTTTGGCGCAAAATAGGTGTTCAATAAAGATTTGATAAATGAATATGTGCCTGGAGTCCTTGCATATCTGTTAGGCTCTGGCAAAAGGGGGCCTTAGAAGGAAATTGCAAGGCAGGAAGAGGAAAAGGGGACTTGCTTCTTTCTGTTTGAACGCTGTTTGCTTCCCATCATCCCAGCAATGTTTCTTCACAGCAGCAGGTCCTTCTTCTAGCAAGGCTTGAGTCCAGTTTGCAGTTTCTCTGACTCTCACGGTACAGTCGTCCCTCCATACCTGCGGGGGATTGGTTCCAGGACCCCTCATGAATACCAAAATGCAAGGATGCTCAAGTCCCATCTATAAAATGGCACAGCTCAGTGGGCCCTGTGTATCCAGGGGTTCTGCATCCACGGATATGGAGGGCCAACTGTACCACCCCCTGAAGCCACACATCTGAAAAACCAGCACTGCTAGCCAGTTGGCACCCCCTCCTTGAGGTCTGTATGCCAGCCCCACAGGGCCCTTCCTCCAGAAACCCAGCACCAGCCCAGCAGCTTCCTCGTAGAGATCTAAGTTCCAATCCCTCTATGAACTTCTCAGTCTTAATTTGTCTCTTTGCTTTGTTCCCCAACCTTAGAACTGCACTTCTGGTACTTGTTCCCTCCATGATACCTTAGTATTCTCCTTGGCCTCTCCATTTCTCTAGTTAGCAACTTGATTCCTCCTTAGGGAATTCTCTCTTAAAATACCTGTGTGTCACCCTGACTGAGACAGCTTATCTGTCTTACGAAATTATGTCACCTTTCTGAAGGTAGACTCTATCAGTAACTATTCTCTATGTCAGGGATCAGCAACTGCAGCCCGTGGGCCAAATCGAGCCTGTGTCCTACTTTTGTAAGTAAAGTGTTACTCAAACATAATCACACCCATTCACTTTCATATTGTCTATAACTGTCACTTTGCAAAGGCAGAGATGAGTAGTCATGATTGAGACCACATGGTCCACACCACCTATAATGTTTGCTGTCTGGTCCTTTATAGAAAAAGTTTGCCAACCCCTATCCTACATCTATAGTTAGCAGAATTTTTGGTATTTAGTAGACATGCCAATAAAAAATGTTAAGCGAAAAAAAAAAAAAAAAAAAAATGTTAAGCGAGGGAATATATGGAGGAAAGAGCCAAAAAGGGAGATGGTAAAAAGAAAGAACAAGGAGGAATATAGAAAAATTTACATTTTAATGGTGATGAAAATTTTATTTATTGAGGTCCAGATCAGATATAGGGGAAAAAAAGAAAGTTAAATTGGCAAAATTTTACCTTTCATTAATTTTCTGTTTAAAAATACAAAAAATCATGTAAATAAATTTTGCTTAAAATATATTAACCTTTTAATTGAACTGTTATAAAAAAACATTGAAATTATATCTACTATGTGTACTTGAATTTTTTTTAATCCATGAAATAAGTTAAAATATGGCAGTATGAGAATAATAACTTTTTAGAGTTGACTGAGAATTTTAAACAGGGCACAATAGAACTGAAGTAGACACATAAGTTGGTGTTTATGACTTTTGGGCAATGTAGTTGATTGTGAAGCCATTTGAGAGATGTTAACAGCTACACATACTTTGTAATATACATTTAGTGACTGAGATCAGTAAACTTTTTATGTTCTGAAGAAACTAGTTTACTGATAGTATTTATTGAATAATTTACTACATTTACAATTCCGTACATATCGTGCCCCAAATCATATGCTGTAAAATCTTAGTATAACTTCCAGTACAGTGAAGCACTTAAAAAATACTCTGAAAATAACATTGAGTCTATCAGAAATAGTGGTTGAATTTGTCAAAAACATTCTATTAGTAAGGAGTTGAGTAGAATTTTAGTTTTACTTTTTGGTCATTACTGAGATTCATTATTGTACATTTACCTAGAGAATAGATTATCCCAACCAGAGCTGCTTTCCCCCTTCTCTGAACTCCTGTGTGTATCTATTATAATAGTTTCCCATTGTTGCTACAAAACATTACCGTACACTTAGTGGCTGAAAACAACACACAATTATTATCTTACAATTCTGAAGGTCAGAAGTCCAAAATGGGTCCAATGGACGAAAATCAAGGTGTCAGCAAGGTGCATTCTTTTTTTTTTTTTTTTCCGATATGTGGGCCCCTCACTGTTGTGGCCTCTCCCATTGCAGAGCAACAGGCTCCGGACGCGCAGGCTCAGCGGCCATGGCTCACGGGCCCAGCCGCTCCGCGGCATGTGGGATCTTCCCCGACCGGGGCACGAACCCGTGTCCCCTGCATCGGCAGGCAGACTCTCAACCACTGCGCCACCAGGGAAGCCCCCAGGGTGCATTCTTTTTAGGAGCTCCTAAGGGAGAACGCTTCTTGCTTTTTCCAGCTTTTAGAGGATGCCCACATCCCTTGGCTTGTGGTTGCATCACTCAGCCTTTGCTTCCATCATCACGTCTCCTTTACTGTCTCTCTTATAATGACCCTGTGATTACATTGGGCCCACCCAGGTAATCCAGGATAAGCTTCCCATCCCCAAATCTTTAACTTAATCACATCTGCAAAGTCCCTTTGCCATTGTAAGTTAATGTATTCAGGGGATTTGGGGAGGAACATGGACATCTCTGGGGGCCTATTATTCTGCCTACCACATCTTTCTTATTTTGTTTAGAATCATTGAATGTCAGAGCTGAAAAGGACATTGGATGAAAACTTATCCAATCCCTTTACTTTACACATGAAGAAGCTGAATGAAACCAGAGGCTGTTTGTCTGCCTCTAAGCACTCTTTAGGTGTGAATCAGGCCTAATTTATGTTTTGTATGCCTAACTATACTTACAATAATACCTTGAACATTTTAAGTACTCAGTAACTATTTATTGCCTGAATGATTAAAAGGTTAGTGATAGAAACCAGATATATCTAGTCTCTGACTCAATTATTTCAAGTTAGTGCTAATAGAAGTTTATAAAAAGCCACTGACATTACCATAAAGGGTAAAGATTCATTTATTATTATATTTTGTAATTAAAAGGAGGAAATTATTCCTTCTTAAAAATAACTACCTTTTTTAGTATTCCATTTCTCTGTCTCTTGTTTTTCTAGAGTAACTCATGGAATCCGGATTTAGTTTCTTTGATATTCATTGCCATTGGGCTGGGTTGATAAGATAAACCTGTATTTTCTGTAATGCATATTTTTCAGCTGTGTCCAATATTTAGGACAATTTAAAAATCAATACTTATCTTTTAAAAACTATTTCATAACTTTAGGAAAAATTTTAGAAATTTAGGTTTATTTTTTTACTTATAATTTTTCTTCCCTTGTTAAGGAAGGATAGTTTGGACTCTTGGTTAAAATAAAATGAAAAAAAATTTTTTTAATTAATTAATTAATTTTTGGCTTCGTTGGGTCTACGTTGCTGCACACAGGCTTTCTCTAGCTGCAGCAAGCAGGGGCTTACTCTTTGTTGCGGTGTGCAGGTTTCTCATTGCGGTGGCTTCTCTTGTTGCGGAGTGCGGGCTCTAGGCGCGTGGGCTTCAGTAGTTGTGGCATGTGGGCTCAGTAGTTGTGGCTCGCGGGCTCTAGAGTGCAGGCTCAGTAGTTGTGGCGCACGGGCTTAGTTGCTCCGCGGCATATGTGATCTTCCCGGACCAGGGCTCGAACCCATGTCCCCTGCATTGGCAGGCAGATTCTTAACCGCTGCGCCACCAGGGAAGTCCCAATAAAATGAAAATTTTTTTAAAGTTTATCTGGCATTTCTTTTTGAAAAACATTAAAACCTAGATTTTAGGTTTAGATTGTCATTCAGATAGATGAATCACTTACTATTTTCCAAGAAAAAAAGCTTTGTCTGATACTTGTGCAATGACTGATTTTCTTTTGTTAATATTCTTGTAGTTTATATAGAATCTGATTTATTGTTATGTGAGTTTGGATATATTAGGCATGGTTCTTGAAATAAAATACACCAGAAGCATTATGTTCTAAGCATTTAGAGTCTTTTCTTACTTGTATCAGCATGGTTTTTCATTGGCCCTATACATTTATACATGTCTAAATCATATACACGTTTCTACAAATACTAAGATTGCAAATAATTCTATTTTTATTTTGTCTACAAGAATGGTACATGTAAAGTGCTTAGCAACTGTAAAAATGGACCATGGTAAAAGTGCCCAATAACTGATAATGTTTATTATATTGTCATGCTGTCCGTGAGAAAAATGTTAATTATAAGTCAACTTTAGAATACATTCATTATAATAAATTATATTCATTGGGTGAAAACATAATCTGACTTTTATTTTCTTGGCAGCAACTTGAATTGGTGGAACCAAGTGGCTGGATTCACGTTCCTTTAACTGATAATCATAAGAAGCCAACTCGCACATTCATGATACAGATTGCTGTTCTAGCCAATCATCAGAATGGAAGAGATACCCACATGAGACAAATTAAAATATACACACCCGTGGAAGAGAGCTCCATTGGTAAATTTCCTAGATGTACAACTATTGATTTCATGATGTATCGCTCCATAAGGTGACCTTGAAATAGAACAAAAGTCATTAAACATATCTTTATCTTGTCAGTAAAGATTAAATCTGGTATCTTTATTGAAAAATGGATCAATTATTTTGCAATTTTTTATGCATTGAAAAGTATTTTATTGTAACTTTAATAAATAACTTTTGGGTCATACTATGTTTATTTTCTTTAACATATAATAAAGCTCACATATTTTATAATTATTAAAATGAATTTGAGCCAATCATTAAATTTTTCCTTATATCAAAAGAAAACCAGTTGAACTGAAAATTTTTAAGGTACACACAATTTTTTACTAACTAGGTAATTATTTCATATAGTGATCATGCATTACAGTAATGATTTACTGCGTGTTTGGGAACAAAACTATGTTTTACCAATAGATATTATCTTTAATAGGCCAGAATTATTATTTTTTTCTATCCAGAGGAAGCTTCTTCTATTCATACTAGGTCTTTTTAAAAACTGTGTCATAATAAGCTTAGCATTCAGTGTGTGATGAGAACCATTCTGATTTGGGGAATGTAATTAATTGTGTCATAATTACTGTACTCCCATGAAATACTTTTAACCCTAGAGTTGTCTATATCCTGATATTATGTCAGCAATTGCCAATATAATCTGCTGTTTATTCTAATTCTAATGCTGTTTATAGAATAGTTAGTTTCAAATTTGTGTCTGACACTGAAGCATTCCCTAAGGGATAATGTAGCTCACGAAAATTTTAAAAATATATGAAATTGTTCTTTACATATAAAAATATTTTAAAGTCCCTTAAATGAGGTTTCTTTCCATGGTTTAACATGAGTCGATTTGATTCTGTATATCTCCCCCCAGCACCACCGGCTACCCCATATCCTTACTTTGGGGGAGACAGAACTTCTCCATATTGGCTCTTTTTTTTTTCTTTTTGTGGTTGTGCCACATGGCTTGTGGGAATCTTACTTCTCCGACTAGGGATCGAACCCGAGCCCTTGGCAGTGAGAGCATGGAGTCCTAACCACTGGACTGCCAGGGAATTCCCACCATATATTGGCTCTTGTTTGGGAAAGATTCCTCAGAGGTTCTTGCATTACTGGGTAGACTGAAGTCTTAAATTAGCAAAGTTTAGGAAATACTTATGTGTTTGATTTATTCTGGCAGAGTACTAATTTACATGGATGCTATAAAAAATGAAGGTTTCATTTTTTTCACTCAGCAGAATCTCAGCTCTTTTTTCTATGAGTTCCACAAAGAGTTTGTCATTTTCATTCTGTTGTCTTTAAAGTAAGAAGCATGGTAAGTGACTGTATGATCACCAAAAAGTCTGTAACCAAAACTCATTTGAGATCAGTGAGTTACTCCCAAGCCTAGATGTCAGATGCTGGGAAGGGTAGAAGAAACAGATGGATAGGAATTAAAAGAAAAGGAGAGAATCAAGAAAATAAGAAGAGCAATATATACTTGGCACTGTATTGATGTTCTGCGTTAGTCTGATAAGGAAAACATTCATGTAAACAACAGGCAGAGTCTAAGAGGCAGAGAAATCTAATAAAAAGTACAGGAAGTCTTATTAGTAATAATGTTACTACTTGCTAACTGCTTTTTAAAAATTTGCTTAAAAGAAAAAAGGAGGAGGACTAATTATCATTTACCTGATCCAGTCTGTTGTTTCCTACTATTAATAGTTTGTGAAAAAAACTCCCAAAATTAGGAAGAATTAAGAAGAATGTTGGGAAAATCACTATGTTTTCTAGTTCTACTCCCTTTCCCTGTTTTTCATAAACCAGCTGAGCACCTCATTAGGCATGGGAAAACTTGGTAGCCCAGGATTGTGGAGGTAATGCGTCCCCTTATTTTAAGGATTATCTGAAGTTCTGATAGACCATGTATTACATTAACAATGCATAATTATCTGAAGCAGTTTCGTTTCTCTTTTGAAAGAGCAAATTATATAGCCAACAAAAGATTTGTATCTAGAATATATAAAGAACTCTTCTTATCACTTAACAGGAAGAAGACAAACAATCCCATTAAAGTGAGCAAAAGATTTAAACAATCATTTCATCAAAGAAGACATATGATTGACAAATAAGCGTATGAAAAGATGCTCAACTTCATTGGATGTTAGTGAAATGCAAATTAAAATCATAATGAGATACCATTTCACAGCCACTAGAATGACTGTGGTTAAAATGACAACGAGGAGGGGGAAGGGGAAGCTGGGACGAAGTGAGAGAGTGGCATGGACGTATATACACTACCAAATGTAAAATAGATAGCTAGTGGGAAGCAGCTGCCTAGCACAGGGAGATCAGCTTGGTGCTTTGTGTCCCCCTAGAGGGGTGGGATAGGCAGGGTGGAAGGGAGATGCAAGAGAGAGGAGAAATGGGGATATTATGTACAGCTGATTCACTTTGTTATACAGCAGCAACTAACACAACATTGTAAAACAATTATACTCCAATAAAGATGTTAAAAAGAAAAAAAAGACAGTTGCACGTGTTAGCAAAGATATGGAGGAAATGGACCTCTTATCAGACTACTGATGAGGAGGTAATTAGTGTATAACCACTTTTGGAAAACATTTTGGTAATTTCTTAAAAAGTTAAACATATACCTGTGTATGGGTATTTACCCAAGAGAAAAGAAAGCGTATGTCCGTACAAAGACTTGCACATGAATGTTCATAGCAGCTTTATTTGTAGTACCTAAAAATTGGAAACAATGCAAATGTTGATCAATAGGAGAAGGTATAAACAAATTGTGGTAAATCCATATAATAGGATACTACTCAGCGATAAAAATAAATGAACAGTTAATACATGCGACAACATGGATACATTTACAAAATAATTATGCTGAAAGAAAGAAACCACAAAAAAGAGTATATAGTGTATGATTCTTTTTTTTTTTTTAATTCTAGAAAGTACAAACTCATCAAGTGATAGAAAGCATATTAGTGGTTGCACAGGATGGGGAGCAGACAGAAGCAAGAAGGCATGAATTATTTGGGGGGATGACAGAAATGTTCATTTTCCTGACAGTGGTACTGGTTTCACAGCTATATACATAAGCCAAAATTTATCAAATCATACGTATGTGCAGTTTATTGCATGTCAATCATACCTTAATAAAGCTGATTTAAAAATAGCTTATTCTACCTGTTTCACATAGGAATCACCCAAAGAGGCTAGATTTGACAGTTATATTTCTTACTGTATAGGATCTGAGAATAAAAAACTAACATTGAAAAGCCATCTTAACAGTTAATAAAACAATGACAGCAAATTCACGGATTCATCCGTAATCAGTATACTTTTTGAGTATTGATCGAACTGCAGTTATGAGATTTAAATATTTAAATTATACATGTAATTGAAGTATTAGACACTTTAAAAATCAGCTTATTACCTGTGGAAATACTGTCACAAGGAACTCTTTGTATAAAACTGTGGAATTTTAAAAGACAGCAGTTCACTGAAGGCTAATAAATACCCAGCTCTAAAAAGACTAATAGATATTGAATGTTGAATTAGACATAATAAGGAAACCAAAGTAAATCTGATGCAGACTTTGCTTTCCAGTTGCTTATAGTCTACTAGGGGAAATAATAGGTCTCCGATAACCAGATCAGAAATTAGACTGGTAAGATCTCTAACTGGTGGATGGAAAAGAGAGTTAACTTCCTATTCAGAAGTTAGAGGTGAAGCTAAAAGAAGGCATTGTGGAGGAGGTGGAACTGTAGAAAGAAAGACTATTTGTAATATCAGCTAGTTATTCACTTTTTAAGCCTATTCTTGAATCCAAACTATCATTGTTTTTACGTGAATAACAACAATTAATTTGAAACAGATGATTTGTATGTTAGGAATCCAGTGATGTTTTGTACTTCTGCTCTCGTTTGAAAGATTCCAACAATTAAAACACAGACCAATCTTGAAAAGTAATTTTAGACACCATGCCTTCTGTTCTTTTAGCCATTATGACTACTAGTTTAGTACACATTAATACACTACAGTATAAATTTTTATGAGTATAAAATTTTATAATACAAATATTTGATATGTTTCTAGTGTTTTAGAAAATTTTACTTTAAATTCTTAATAACATGTTGGCTTATTATATGTCATTTTTAATTGAATTCTTGGTTCAATTACCTTTTAAAAATGATAAAAGTTGCAAAATATGTTAAATTAAAGCATTAGGGAAAATAATACTTTGTAGTTGTGGTTATTTGGAGACACTTTTGCTTTGTGGAGCTTTTAAAACAAGTTAATCTTCTTTTGCCCACATTGTTTTGATTTTCCCCACTTCTACTATGACTCCCTAGAGTATGGTGTTTGGAAGTGTTTGCTGTACAAAGCTGTTTACCAGCCATCTACAAGGAAGCTCTCTGTGCTTCATGATCTGCCATTTAGTTGGGCCTGCTTCTGTACAATGGTGTCTAGAAAGCGTTAGAGAGAGGAAGACAACAAAGGAAAAACCTCAGGGATTAGTTTATTAATTATCCATGATAATGATTTATTCTATTAACAGGACATATCTTAAGGCTAATTAATTACAACTCCCCCCCACCATAGATCTAAGAAAATGTCTATAACCCATGGCAATTTTGTAAGAAAAGTTGAAATTATTTTTTAGTAATACTAACCAGTCTGTATTTCAGTTTTATGTGAAAGTACCCTCCCTTTTTTCTATGGCTAATCCTGCCACCATTGTTTGTCTTCTCTTGTCCTTTCTGGTTAAAAGAATCAATTTACTATTTCTCCAACATAAGCAAAATTACAGTTACACCAACTTAAAGGTATTCTATCTTCTTATGAAATCTTTTTCTGAGTGAATTGGTATTTCAGGAAATGGTATTTCACATCATGTATAATTGAAGCTCTAGTATTTAGCATCCCAGTTGTTTTCATTACTGCATTTGTGGCCATAAGCTTTCCACTGATGCAGTTCAATGGTGACCATAAGATGTTTTTCCACTATGTATTTGCTTTTCCGGTGTTGAGAGCAAATTACGATTCTCTCCCTGTGGTCCTAGAAATAACTCCCCCAACTGTTTTTATAGACTTTATTCTGAGACCAGCTCTCCTCTGTACCCTGGCATTCATCTATAGCTGGAGATCCAGATTTTAACAGATCATTTCCTGTTATTACTATAGCAGTATCAAAATACTGATCACTTACCAAGAAGCAAAATATCCAAAACACTGAAGTAGAGAGTTCAGCCAGCTGTTTGTTTTTCAACTGTTAAAATTTATAAGAATCACATGTTAAATGAATATGGAGAAATAATGAAATAGAGGGTAGGCTCAGTAAAAGGAGGATGATAACAAGCCATCCAGCTATTAAGTTATAACACACTCAGGTGTCTACCAAGACAAAGGAAAGGAATTTTACTATTTATCTAAAAACAGTGCTTATTTTTAAGGTAGCATTCAGTAACTGATAAGAGATGCAAGGAAGTCCTTGTCATGAAATTCAGAAGTCTTCTTTCATTTTTTTCCATCATCCAGGCTGTTTAGAACAAAATTCATCATTTCTTTCTTGAAATGTTCAACTGTTAGACTGGTATTTGGGTGTAATTTTTACTCTTCTCCTTCATCTTTACATACTCAGTAACTGTAAGCCCTGCAGATTCTTTTTCCACATTAATTATCACTTTTGGTTTCACCCCATTCACATCATTCTAGGTCAGTTCAGTCTTACCAGAAAAGAAACGACACCAGATAAAACTTTCTAATGTTGCAAACTGGAATAGATGCTAACCGCCCTGTGAGTTCTTTAATACACATGCACATTTCCAGAGGTAGGAAATGAATATCACGCTAAATGAGAAGCTCCAGTGCTCTCTTACCCTGTCCAACTAGTTCTAAGCCAGTCTATTAGACCCACTCTTACTCCTAATTCTAGTTCTGAATCCCTTAGCTGCTGGTAGCTACTTCTTGTTTGTTCTCTCTTGGCCCTTTGGAATTTCACGATAAGGACTATTTTTGTAGCTCCAAACTTGTCTCCCCTCAGTGTTGTTTCCTTAGGCCACGTTGGGTAAGTTTTCTTTATTTTGATCAACTGAATAGTACTCTCTATCCTATACTATCTCTAATAACATAGCTGATCATGTTAGTAACACTGTGCCAATGAAGAAAGATAAATACAGTTTGGCATATGACATTTACTAAGGCTGGAAAGCATGCAATACAT